TTTAATCCCAGCTCTAAGGAGGTTGAGACAGGAAGTGATAGGCTGGACAGAGAAAGAAATATAAAGTGGGAGGAGACAGGAGCTCAGTCTTTTTTGGCTGAGGAGTTGGTGAGGTGAGAGGTGTCTGTGGCTTGTACCTTTGTCTCTCTGATCTTTTAGCATTTACCCCAATACATGGATCCAGGTTTTTATTAAGACCAATTAGGATTCATGCTATGTTCAGGTTTGAATCCCAGCACCCATATGGGAGCTCACAATGACCTAGAACTCCAGGGAGTTATATAACACCTCTTCTGGCCTTTGTACACAGTGCACACAGCACATAGACATACACGCAAGGAAAACACCTACACACATAAAATAAAAATAAAGGTTAAAAGCAAAAAGAAAGAAGCTTTTAACCTTATTTTCATTTTCCCATGTTTATTAATAATATGACAAAGAACATCTTTGGCGTTTGGTTTTGATATTAAATGTCCCCTAAAGGCCCATATGCTAAAGGCCTGCATGGCAGCCTGCAGTACTATTGGGAGGTGCTTTACGGGTTGGGGCTCAGGGGTTAGAGAGATGGCTCAGTGGTTAAAAGTGCTGGCTGCTCTTCCAGAGTCTTCAGTTCAATTCCCAGCACTCCCATGGTGGCTCACAACCATCTGGAACTGTAGCCCCATGGGATCTGATTCCCCCTTTGGTGTGCAGACCTGCATGCAGACAAAACAGCCATGTACATAAAATACGAAAAATAAATTAAAAAAAGAGTTTGGGTCAATTAGAAGGAAGGTAGGCCATTGGGGGTGTGCACTTGAAGGTATGTTTGGGGGGCCCTACCCCTTTTTAATTTTACTTCCCAACTACCATGAGAACAACTTCTCTCATCACATGCTTCTGCCACAAATGTTCTGTCTCATCCCAGGCTCCAAAATAATGGAACCAATTGCCATGGGCTAAAACCTCTGAAACTGTGAACAGAACACATTTTCTAAACTTTTTAAAAATTTTTGATTTTCTAAAGATATTTTGTCATAGTAACAGGAAGCTAACACATTTGTATGTATATAGATCTTTAAAATTCTTCTTAATAATTTGAACTGTAATTGCCTGCTAGTTCATTCTGACCCAGAGTTCTGGTCAAAGACCCACACTGTTTTCTCTTGGGCCAGATTTTAAGGCCTGAAAAATTAATACTTTTGATAATGGCATACAGATGCTCATGTAGCTATCTAATTTCACTTTAAATCAAGAAGGGGATGCCTGTACTACAGATGAAAAGCTTCTAATATCTGTCCAGTTCCAAACAATGGTTGGTCTCCTGGGGACCAATCTTGAAGGGAAGAAATGTGTCTCTGAATTCACTACTTCAAATAAAGAACACATTCCTTTCTCATGTTTTGGGAACTAATATTTTAAAAAAGAATATACAACATTTTTGTATAGAGCACTACTAAATGTCAGGCAATCAGCAAGCCAGGAACTTCATATCACAATTTCCCAACTAGTTGAATATCTCATGTCCCTGGCAATGTTTTCTTGGCTGAAGAAGCTTTGGAGGGGGTTTCTCTGTCCCCAGGGAAGGGAAAATTACATTTGGCTTCTTCATCTCTCTTCTCTGCTGTGATGATATTTAGTGGTGACATAATGTTTACAGAGAGATTTTAGAAGGCATGGCTTGGAGTCTGAAGCTTGATATTTTCCATGGCTCTGTAGTTTACTGGCTGGTAAATTTTTGCAGAGGAACCTGGAATTCTCACCTAAAGGTCCTACAGATTCCTTCAGTGGCACTGGTTAGGGCACCACAGCTTTTACTGCCCTACTGCAGATGCAGGCTGTAGGTGGCTGGGTGGCCGAAAGACTGTGTTGTTCTCAGATTGGCACATGGGAGAAATACGCTGACCCTCCAACATACTGCCCAGATTCAGCTGCCCTAGGAGAGTGGGTAACTCTAGTAATGGCTGCCTGGCAGCCAGTGTGAACTCTGTGTTGCTTAAGAAGAGTGAGCTGGTGCAGTAGAAAGGTATTCCTAGGAAGAACAGTGGTCCACACAGCAGCAACAACACATTCACAGTTCACTTGAAGCCAGTGCTGTAGGAGTTCCTGTGCTATCCATTGTAACCCATGACAAAGAGATGAAAGCAAGTGTTTCTTTATAATTAAGGAGACCGAAGCCATATGACGTCCTTAAGGTCACACGGCTGGTTAATTACGGAGCCAGGTTTCTCATCAAATGGTATGGTTGTAGCCCCTTGCCACTGGCTTGCCTGTATGTAATGATCTGCCTATCAAATGCAAAGCGGTCCTTGTCTACCAATGAAAAGGCTTCAGTAGTCACAGGAAACAAACAACACAAAGAACTGTTAATGCTTTTTGGGCTGTGGTAAGACAGGAAAAGAAAATTATCACAAGCCCAGGAAATGGGGAAATGACTGTGACCCCAAGGTATCTGATGGCATCAAAAAATCTCAGACCCTTTGATACACTGGCAATGGATATGATACAAAAAGCCCAAGGATGACTCTTTATCACTCACAAGGCACTTAGCATTTCTCTCTGAAGACAGGGATCAAAATTATTATAGAGGTTAAGTATAGAAGAGCATCGGCTCCAGGAACCTTTTAGGTGCATGCTGCAAATTACATACTATAACTGCAACATGCCATCAACGTAATGGCTGCCTTTGCCACAGAGCATGGAGCAATCTGTGTTTTGAAATCCTTAAATATCCTTAAATTGAAAAGAAAGAAATAGATGAAAGGAAACAACCAGGAAGCTTCATGTACTAATAGACTCTATTTCTATACTCAAGAGTGATGCAAAATCATACCGGTTTGAAAGTGTTTAGAATTATTTTTTTTAGGTACTCTCTAGTCAGAAAAACGCTCATATTAATTTTAAGCATCAGCACCTGTTGTTTTTCTAGACCTATTTATGCATGGACCTTATTTGCAGTAGAGAAAGCACATGCACACATTTCCTTACACATTTAGAAAGAAAGCTGCCACGTTTTAAATACAGTTGAGATCTAAAACGCATGCTTAACATTTTCACGATGGCAGTATACTTTTTATTTTTCTTCCAGTCCTCTAGGTATTCTGCCCCAATAAACAATCTGAATGACTTGAGATAGCTGCAAAAGCTCCCTGTGAATATTTCCCCAAGTGTAAGTTATTGGGAAGATGTTTATATAATTCATGAAAATCTTCAGTCTTGTGTCCTTTTAATCTTTGTGAATCCATCGTACTGACAGAATCCTGCTTTGAGTTTATGCTTAAAGATCGGATTTATTCCTTCAGCTTATCAGGAAGAAAAAGAGAAATGAAACTGTATTTTCAGACATATATAATTTGGCCTCTGCACATATTGGCTGAGGTTTAACACTTTTGTAGTTTTCTCTCTTGAATTTGTTAAGGCTCATGCTAAACAGGCAGCCCTACCTACCCACATGTTTCTGGTGGGCTGTTGATGACATTAACCCAACCATAGGAGCTCTTATTAATTCCTGATAATTTTGTTTTTCAGTATTGCTTGACATGCCTTTCCACCTCACATGAACTGGAAACCACAATTCATAAGAATTTTAGGAATACAGCATGGACAAACTATTACTATGTGAATACTTCTACATGCAGGTGAAATTACATCCATAGAATTTCAAGCCAAAGCACTTGACCATGAAAAATGATACGTTTTCTTGTCCTCACATCTGTCTTCTCTTTGGTGGTTGTGGGCTAAGCACTGGAGTACTGCTGCAGAGGGGGAGGGGACCAAAGAGACCGTCCACAATGATGGCGCTGAAGAGGAATATGACCTCTGTTACCCATTGTATAGACTCACAGAACATTGATATTGTAGAATCCACTGAATTTAATCCATCTACTATTCTCCTGCTTACAGCTGATGCCCTGGAGGACCCTAGAATCTCTGTCCAGGGGTTGTTTTAAAAAAGCCTCCCATCTCTGTCTTATGTTTACAGTTTTGCTTTCTCCTCACCTCCACTTAATTTTATACAAGCATCTTTCAGAAGAAAGGCAGGCTATTGTTCAAGACCTTGTATTAGTGTCCATGAACTGAGAATGCAATATCACTATCTACCAGTGCATAGGAAGCCTGCACCTCCCGATTGCTGCTCACTTCCAAGTGACAACCCGTGCTATTCTCTCTGGCTTACTTTCAGTCCAGTCACCCCGGGATTTCTCGAGCCTGAGCTCCTTCTCATCGGAAGCCTTCTGTCTGAAAATTTCCCCCAGGTCCTTTACCTCCTGGCTTATCCCAGGGAGCAGCTCTCAGAAGAGGCAGTCCCTCACCTGCCCGTGAACATGGCACAAACCTCCTCTCACAACCATACTACCACAATCACTCATTTTTATTTTATTTTACTTACAAATAAACTAACAGCTTTTACAGCTCTGAATGTTGCTGTAGTCTTGCACTCTTCTTGAACCTAAGGTGAGTGATATTAACCTAATCGGTGTTAAGGGTTGCTGTGGGATGGTCTGTATGTCAAATTACTCTGATTGGTCAATAAATA